GGAGGCGGGAGGCGGGAGGGATGTTAGCTGGACGTGGTTAGAGGAGACAGGAGGAGAAACTAGCCGCTCAGAAGGACGCTCGCAGCATGTGAGAGCCGAGGACTACAGCAGCCAGCCAGCGAAGACAAACCCTACACCAGTTCCTCCTGTCTCACTGGTGCTCAGTCATTCTTTAATTTTTTTCTTTCTCTCTTTTTTTCTTCTTTTAACAGAATTGATAAAAAAATGTCTGGTGGCCAGAGTGGCTATGAACTCAGCGAAGCCAAAGCCATTCTCACAGAGCTGAAGTCCATCAGAAAGGCTATTAGCTCAGGAGAGAAAGAAAAACAGGACTTGATGCAGGTATGCGATGGGCCATTTCGTCAGGTCAGACCCCTGCCTTCTGGGCCGGCAGGACTGCGGTTCACACCCAGCTAGCTGGTCTTGCTCCAGAAAGCATGGTTTTAATATAGACATAGCACATACAAGACTTTACTTGGATGTATTCTGCTTTTGCTTCACAATGACCCTGCTAATTAGAGCAGTGATTCCTGACACGCATATAACATACGTAGGTCCTTTGACAAAAGTTCATGGAACTTGAACAAAATTACAGTGGAATCTTATAAATCAGCAATTTTAGGTCATCTTTCATTCTTCCAGTAAACTTTGGGTTCGTACACAGGCCAGATTAAAGTAAAAGATTAGATTCCTTTTTAATGACAGAAGTACATAAAATAATTAATTAGTAGATGCAGAAATCAACAGTAGAGCTGGAAGGGATAGTAGGTATCTTCTGTGACTTTTAAACCTCTTTGGCCACAACACACAGTAAAAAATATACGTTACACCAAAACCCACTAACGCACAAATATCTTTACCTATAGATACACACAAAACAAATTTCACAGAAATAATACCCACTCAGATTTCATTTTCTAGTCCGTTCTGTTTCTTTAGAAAACTGGTCATGACCTAAATTGATTGAGTGCATTGTCATCACAGGTAGGTTTGAAAAATACTAATCTTTTCACTGCACGGATGAAAAAATAGAAAAGACTTGCCCAACATCGCTAAACAGTTTCTTGGTTCTTTTCTGTGATGTATTATTTCATGTGACCATTTAAGTTCCATCCCTTTTGTAGATGTATTTTGTATAAATATCCCTTTGAAAGAAAATAGAGAAAGTTGGGTAAAAAAAAAAAACCCAAAAAACAGATCTCTGATAGTTCTAATTTCTTATGAGAAGTTAAAATATCAGGATCAATTAATTCCTCCTGGTGGGGGAGTTTTTCCCTCCTACGTGCTAAGCTCTCTGACGTCCTCCACGTTTCCTGACAGAGCCTTGCTAAGCTGCAGGAGCGGTTTCACCTGGATCAGAGCATCGGCAGATCAGAGCCAGACCTGAGATCCAGTCCCGTGAACTCCCATCTGTCTCTCTCCAGACAGACCCTTGATGCCGGGTCCCAGACAAGCATTTCCGGAGAGGTAAGCCACGCCTGCGGACAGGCTGCCCCGGCGCTGGCCTGGACCGGCCGTAATTACAGCAGGGGTGTGTGTTGTCCCATTTGGGGTTCCACCAGCAGATCTGCAACGAGTTCCCAGTAGTTTTCAGGTTCTCTTACGCTTTTTTGAATTATTTGCTGTTAAAGCAAAACAGTTTGAGATCAAACAGTATGGCTTAACTGTTTGAAAAATTATTTTTCAAAGTTATTTAGTTCCTATTTTATGCAGTCGAAAGCTAAATTATGCTGAAAATTTTGGCTCCTAGTTATGAGGAAATTAGTTCCAGTTCATAAAGTTTATTGACCTGCACACCCCTCATAAACTGTGGGGTCCCAGAAACATTTACCTGGTATTTTTTTTAATCTTGAATTTAATGTGTGGAGAAAATGATGGTAAAGTCTTTGAAAGACAGACAGACTTGAATTCAAAAGAAATGTTTTGCCCCTTCTGAGACCATAAAGTCAGTGCCTTTTTCAACCGGCCTCTCAGTGTCAGGACCCCCTCCTTAAGCTTTGCAGTGACTCGTACGTCCCAGAAACAGGAGGAGCTTAGCTTCATTCACGAGCAGAGTCCATTGACTTTGTCCCTTCTGTTTTTTACTAGATCGGAGCGAGAAGTAGATCGAATTTAGCTGAAAAGGTCAGGCTGAGCCTGCAGTATGAAGAAGCCAAGAGAAGGTAACCGTGGGCAGCGGCCCGGCACGGCGGTCAGTGGGCTCCAGCAGCGGAGGCGTCCCCAGTCCATCCCCGCTCCTGCAGTGACACCTGCTGGCGCTCCCCACACGCTCCCGCGGAGGCTGCGCTGGGCTCAGATCCCCAGGGCTGCGGCCCCTCTGCTCGCCGTTCCTTCCCCTCCCCGCCCGCAGAGCTGGAGGGCATGGAGAAGTCAGGATAAGTGTGGGAAGGAAATTATCCCCTGTTCTGGAGGAAAGAAGGTTTGAGCTTGTACGGTGCTTACGGTTAACAGGCGAGGGTAGGAACGGGGCACAGTGGCTCAGGTACAGGACTAGGTGGCCGTGCACGGGCTCTCAGGTAAATGGCTTTCAGTGTGTCCCTTTGTTTGGGGGGGGACTCCGGCTAATGTCCTTGAAGGTGCTGAGGTGTCTGGCCCATTGACTTCTTTACCTCGTGGACTCCTGTTACTCCCAGTGCTCTCTTTTTTTACCTCTGGATTCTGCGTTCAGCAGGCCTAGGAGACCTCACCGCTCTTACCTGGCAGGCGCTCTCAACCTGTTTTCATGGTGTAGGTGAGGGAGCGAGTCATACGAATACAGCTGATACCACTATTTTCCTTTTAAGATTTTAAAATGCTGTTGATACATCATTTAGGAAGACACGGGTGGGGGGCTGCGTTATTGCTCTGCAGGGGTCAGAGACGTTTATCACGTTGCTCCTCGTGAGCTTATGAAGAGCTCGGCTGAGAACCTGCTGGAGCGTCCTGGTTTCCTGCCGTAGGGAAGACCGCTGGATGGACACTGAAGGCTATCCATTGTTACTGGTGGTGATGATACTTCATAAGTAATGAGCCAGGGTTCTTAGAGGTTATCTGGCCCTAACAGAGTAATTACTTGATCTGCCTAAATGCAGTATTTGCCTCTGTGTAGCCTCTGTTACTAATATGACTTGGTTCTTGGATTTCCTGAAAGAGCCCTAAGCTGTGCTCCACAAATTATTAACCATATGAGCTTGATTGAGCAAGTCACTCAGTCTCTGAACAACATCTTACTGGACTAATTTTAACGCCTATAAATTTTTTTCAGGCAGGTTGTAAGTTTCCCAAAGTGAGGAAAAGTTTTGTATAGTTTATGGTCTGCTTCTCAGTGCTGAGGCTAAGGCTTGGGGCTCGCTCCGTGGTTTTGTGGTCCCGGGACACAGAAGCCTCCAGGAGGCTGTTTGCAGCCTCCAGCAGTTAGAACCCCTGGGCTCTGCGGTAACAGCCCCAGGGTTGGTGCCTGGTTTCCTGAAGGACGGCCACACTCAGAATTAACCTGAGGGCCAGGCCTCACAGGCTCGGTTCCTGGGGCTCAACTCGACCTCCCTTTGGTCAGCTTCTGTGTTTGCTTTACTTCAGTCCCTGCCAGTTTACTCCATCGGGGGCTTGCACAGCACTTCTCCTAGGTGTCCCCCAAATCTTCCTGTTTTGTTCCCCAGATTGGAGCACCCTTTCCGCATAAAATCCAACACCTGCCTGATGCTTGGTCTCAGGGGTCAGAGGTGCCTTTCTCTCCTTCGTTGCACTGTTGCTCCCAGGTCACTTGGTTAACTCCATCCCGTCGAAACCTAAGACACTGGATCTTTCTGTTTGGTCGCATTGGCTGTTCTGTTACCTAATTCGGGGCTTTATTTTAAAGTTACTAGCGATGCTGACGAGAGGTAAATCTCAAGGGCTTGTGCATATGTTGAAAGTGCGTTTTCTCCCTCGCCTCTGAATAAAGAGGCGGCTGTGTTTCTCTGCCGCCCGCGCTCTCCTCGGGCCTGTGTTATGTGCTTAATGAAGCTGATAATATCATGCTTATTTAGCATCTTGATGATTAATTTTCCAGGACATTGAGACAGTTGTTTATGCTTTTGTGGTTGCAGCTGAAGAATAGCTGATGTTACATCTATCATAAATGCCGACGGTGGGGGAAAATCGGAAGCACATTATAGACGCAGTGCCTGTTGAAGGAGCAACTTTACCTTCAGCTAAAACACAAAACTTACAGACCGAGAATGTGGAACCCCTTCCATCTTTGTCCTGATACCGTTTCTTGTTCACCTTTTTTCTTCTGTTCTACAACTTCTTCCACCACAATGAAAAAACAGAATTCATCCCCTTTCTATCTGTTTTTCATATTCTCTGGTGTGTTCTGTAACTACAGACAAAAGAATCCCAACGATTTTTATAGGAATTGGTGTCCCCGTACCAACGCCAGCTGTGTTCATAGTTGACCGTGGTCTTGTGCTTATGGAACACAGACACGTGCCATTGACCTAGTGGACAATCGTATCGTCCCCGCAGGGCCGCGGTGCAAGTCATTTGATGCAGGTCGTCAGAGCATCTTAGTGAATCGAGAGTTCCCTTGACCGTGAGTGAGCTCTAGACAGAGAGACCTGCCGTCAGGCGACACTGTGCAACCGGTCGAGCTCCCCTCTGCCGCTTTTCCTTCCTCCCCCCTCCCCGTCCCCTCACCTCAGCCCCTGTGGTCACTCCAGTGGTGCCTGTGCTGCTGGGGACCCACCCGGTGCCTGTGTGCAGAGGAGACCAGGTCAAGGGCAGTGAAGTCCACGGTGCCGGCTCCGTACGGGGGTGGACGCCCATCAGCTCCCTGCAGGGGGAGAGCTGAGGAGAGCTCGGTGGAGGCGGCACCCTTGCCCCTTTGCTTGGTGACGGTGGAGCCTTGATGGGCTGTCTTAATCCTGGTTGGCCAGTCGCGGCTCTTCTCCCTCTTCCTTCCCTGACTGGGTCGTGTCCTAGTTGCTGCCCGGCCTACCCTGGGTCGGCCATTTCACTGGGGGACAGCGTCTTACCTACAGGACCAGAATTTGTACTAGTGGCCTTTCGGGTGCCTTTCACGTCGGGATTTTTGGTGGAGGCCCCCCAGGCCTCCCTCCCGTCACCTGCCCGGGGTTCCCAGGGCTCTCTGCTTTGGAGTGTCTGTGTGCTTTGGCCTGAACCCTTTTCTCAGTCGGGGTGTGCTCGCTCAGATTTTAAAGGGGGGACAATGACACGGAGTGGCAGCTGAGTGCAGAGCCAGGCTAAGACTGGAGTGCAGGTGTTGCTCTTGCTCGCTCATCCCAGGCGATCACCCCCTGGTGAGGCTCGCAGAGGAGACTCAGCAGCCACCCCCGACTAGGCCCGGTTCGTGTTTTCTCTTTCCTGGGGGTTCTGAGTTCACGCACACCTCTCTCCTCTCTCTATTTTAGCATGGCCAACCTGAAAATTGAGTTGTCGAAATTGGACAGTGAGGCTTGGCCCGGGGCGCTGGATATTGAGAAGGAGAAGCTGATGCTGATTCATGAAAAAGAAGAACTTTTGAAAGAGCTTCAGTTTGTCACTCCGCAAAAGCGCACGCGAGACGAACTGGAGCGCCTGGAGGCCGACCGGCAGCGGCTGGAGGAGGAGCTGCTGTCCGTGAGGGGCGCGCCCAGCCGGGCGCTGGCCGAGAGGTTGGTGTCCTTGGGGCCGGGCCAGGGAATCCTGGGGTGTGTCTCAGGTGTGCCTGGTGCCATCTCCCTGGTCTGTGGTCGTCTCAGGTGCATCTGTTCTCAGTGGGCTGGGAGCCAGCACAAAGGGCTTTCGTTGGGTAGAGCAGTCAAGCGCCCCCTCCACCTGCCCCCTGCGCCCCGCAGTCCCTCTGGGCCTGTTGGGGACATGAAGTTGTGAAAATGCCCTGACAGGTGCTGAATAACTAAAGACCACTGATGTCACACCAGGAATGCAGGGCCTAATGCGGGCCTCGGAGGTGGCTGGTAACAATAGCTATAAACCATTGCTCCCTGATAAGGTGATCGGGACTGTTTGAGCAGCCGGAGCTTCCTATTCGGGGTTTTATTGCTCGCAGGAATGCAAACATTTATTCCTGTTCATCTCCCGAGGAAAGGACAGCTTCTCCCTCTCACGCCGTACCGGGTCCCAGCACATTCCCTTGGATTCTGTTTGTCCATTGACGTCCTCCTCCAGACGAGGTGAAATGTGAGGGAAACCTTTGAAGCAATTTTCCCGTCTCTGTGGGAATGTGTAAATCGATTATTTAATCTTAAAAACCCAGCTCTGTAATCAGATCTGCTGGACTGTGAAGCAGGCGTCAGCCTGACAGGTGCACATCTGCACCTGATGACCGACACGGCCGGACACCTGTGTCACCTGTAGACCAGGTGGCCCTTTGGAACCAGCGCACACCCTCGGGCCAACAAGTGAGGAGCAGCGTCCAGCCCAGAATGACAGGAATGAAACTCACAGTCACGTAATTCCCAGCTACCTGGAAGTAACTTCAAAATACCCGGTCATAATCCACTTGCTTTATTTTTTATTTTTTTGACTTCTTGGCTTCTTGCCTTCTAATTGCTTGTGCTCTGTAAGTGTTTAAGGTGATATGTCTACGTAATATCAAAACATTGGAAAAGTGGTGGGGAGGACAGTGAAGGAAGAAACTTGAGATTCAGGTGAGGCGGTAACATTGGACTTGCCTACCCTGAGTTTAACCACTTTGGGAGAACTGACTTTTGTGAGTGAAAACGTTGGTCAAGATAATGCACAGCTAGACCCTCACAGCTTTGGGGAGCACAAAAAAGTGTCACCAGAGGAAGCCTCTGCAGGTGACATTCTTGCACTGTCCTAAGTAATTCTCACCGTGCTCACCTGCCCCCTTTTCCCTCCCCCTCCTGCTCTTCCGTCTGGAGGAGCCGATTGAAGGCTCAGCCTGAGGTGGACGTGAGTGAGGCTGGCCAGGTAAGGACGCATCCAACAAAGACCAAAGGGAGCAAAAGTGGGGGTGTGAGGCCGAATTCAGTCGTTTCCCGAATTCCTTGATGTGGTGGGTGTCTGGGCTTGGATAACTTAAATTTCTAGGATGAAAGTTTGATAATCATCAGTAACTATGAAGAAATGGGCAGCTTCATGCGGCTCACGTGTAAAACCCCAGTGGCATCTGTGTGACTGTAGCACTTACTAAATGTTACCTGTTCACACCTGTCTGAGGTCCTGAGTCCCTCTCCGCTGCTCTGCTCTAGTCTGTGGGTCTGGGACGGGCCTGGAAACAGCCTTTAGATGTGTCCTGAGAGAGAGAAAAGCAGGTACTTGTTTATTTGCTTTAATCCGTTTTCCAGGCATGATGTTTTATCTTTTTTATTAGGGTTAGACCTTAAAAATGATGAAGTAACATTAAAAATATGCTTTGTTCCTAAGCGCTTAGACATTGGTTTTTAAACTTTGGTTTGCACATATATAATAACTGTCAGAAACACATGGATGCTCAGCGGCTGTGTGAGGCCTGTGCCTGCCCGCGGTCTGCAGCGCCGCCAGCCCCGGACAGCGGTGACTGCGCCCGCCACCTAGTGACGGTGAAGCGCATCGTAGAGAGGGGTCTGCTCAGCGCGGGGTCGACAGAGAAGCTGCTCTCAGGCGGAAAGCGGCCGTGCAGTGTGGGGCTTTCTACAGTCTTTTCATTCAGTTACCGCGATGCCTTAAACCCTGTGCTTTTCTGTAACTGCTAAGATCTTAACATTGCTCCCCACTTTCTCACAGATCTTAGAGGTTTTATCTTGCCAAGGTGTCTTAATTATTCCTTAATTAGAGTCATGCACCAGATAAGGGCATTTTAGTCAACAGGAGACCACATATACAGCGGTGGTCCCCCAAATTATAATGGAGCTGAAAAATCCTACCACCTGGCGACGTCGTAGGCTTTATAACGTCGCAGCGCAAACATTACTCAGGTATTGTGGTGATGCTGGTGTAAACAGACCTACTGCGCTGCCAGTCGTACAAAAACACAGCGCATGCAGTTATGTCCAGTGCACAGTACCTGATAAAGGTGATAGATGACTGTTGGTGCTTTAGGTATTTACCATGCTGTACTTTTTTTTTTTTTTTAATATATCTTTATTGATTTCAGAGAGAGGAAAGGAGAGGGAGAGAGAGAGATAGAAACATCAATGATGAGAGAGTCATTGATCGGCTGCAGCCCACAACCCGGGCATGTGCCCTGACCGGGAATCAAACCCCGATCGCCTGGATCCTAGGTCGACGCTCAACCGCTGAGCCACGCCCGGCCGGGCTACCATGCTATACTTCCTATTGTTACATTTGAGTGTACTCTCGAAAGAGTACTTTTAAAAAGTTTACTGTTAAGAGCCAACATTTTTTAGAACACTTCCAAAAAAAAGCACTTAAAAAAAAAAAGGTTACGTCATCAATAGCCTCTTGGCTCCCGTGTTTACTGTGTGTCCTGTTCGCAGCATTTTCTCTTGTGACCTAACCTCGCGTTGTTCGGTGCGGTAACGGGCCGCACAGGCTTGTGGCCCCCGAGCGCAGGCGGCGCCGTAGAGCCTGGGGGTGTAGGCCTCACCGCCCGGGCCGTGTAAGTACCTGGCAGCGTGTGCACAGCAGGAGTAACGATGCATTTCTCAGAACGCACCCCCCTCGAGTGCCACATGACTGTATCAATGTTTTTGCCACTGATCCTGAGAAAACTTTTAAAGCAAGTAGGTGGGGGTACGAGTGTCATTTATTTTTTTAATGGAAAAGGGATTTACTACTCAATAGGTGACCTGAAAATGTCCCTACGTGGAAAGTTCTGGATGGTCTGAGTCAGGAGAGGGCAGGCAGGTGCGTCCCTTCCCCGGACACCGAGGGCACGTAGCAGGGAGCGGGGGACCTGCCTTGGTCTTGCGGAGGGCAGCTGAGGGGATCGTGTGGAGCAGCAGGAGGAATCTTAGGGACCAGGTGGAGAAGACTCTGTCCCACCCAGGAGGACTAGAGGGCAGAGATGGGAGAAGGGCTGAGAGAGGCAGGTGTGCACCCTCCTGTCGGGACAATTTCTTCTAACTCCTGGCCCCGAGGAAGTTGGGGAGCTCGCTTCCTATGAAGGAACCTGGCACCTGAGGAAGACTCCTGGCCCCTGCTAGGAGAGGCTCCCTGATGCCCTCAGAGACGGGGGCAAGAGTGCCCAACTGAGGACAGCCGCAGCGCTCCCAGCCGGGCCCGTCTCCCCGGCGCCTTCATGTTGCTTCTCCCGGTGAAGGTGTGGCTTAGACCCCCACCCAGGGGAGTGCTGGGGAGGGGTGCTGGCTCTTCAGGCAGCCGGGTAAGAGGGGGGAGCCCTGCTGCCTTCCACGAGCTTGGGTCTGAGTGGGAAACATTCGAAGCAGAGCCCAGAAGCCAGGCCTCGGAAGTTCACAGTAACCACGAAAAGGCTGGAAGTGTGGCACCGGGGCCATCGCAGGGAGGGCAGGGGACCATCGCTTGTGACTGGGACAGGATTTTTTTCTAAATATGTTTTTGTTGATTTTTTTTTTTTTTTTTAGAGANCCTATTGTTACATTTGAGTGTACTCTCGAAAGAGTACTTTTAAAAAGTTTACTGTTAAGAGCCAACATTTTTTAGAACACTTCCAAAAAAAAGCACTTAAAAAAAAAAAGGTTACGTCATCAATAGCCTCTTGGCTCCCGTGTTTACTGTGTGTCCTGTTCGCAGCATTTTCTCTTGTGACCTAACCTCGCGTTGTTCGGTGCGGTAACGGGCCGCACAGGCTTGTGGCCCCCGAGCGCAGGCAGCGCCGTAGAGCCTGGGGGTGTAGGCCTCACCGCCCGGGCCGTGTAAGTACCTGGCAGCGTGTGCACAGCAGGAGTAACGATGCATTTCTCAGAACGCACCCCCCTCGAGTGCCACATGACTGTATCAATGTTTTTGCCACTGATCCTGAGAAAACTTTTAAAGCAAGTAGGTGGGGGTACGAGTGTCATTTATTTTTTTAATGGAAAAGGGATTTACTACTCAATAGGTGACCTGAAAATGTCCCTACGTGGAAAGTTCTGGATGGTCTGAGTCAGGAGAGGGCAGGCAGGTGCGTCCCTTCCCCGGACACCGAGGGCACGTAGCAGGGAGCGGGGGACCTGCCTTGGTCTTGCGGAGGGCAGCTGAGGGGATCGTGTGGAGCAGCAGGAGGAATCTTAGGGACCAGGTGGAGAAGACTCTGTCCCACCCAGGAGGACTAGAGGGCAGAGATGGGAGAAGGGCTGAGAGAGGCAGGTGTGCACCCTCCTGTCGGGACAATTTCTTCTAACTCCTGGCCCCGAGGAAGTTGGGGAGCTCGCTTCCTATGAAGGAACCTGGCACCTGAGGAAGACTCCTGGCCCCTGCTAGGAGAGGCTCCCTGATGCCCTCAGAGACGGGGGCAAGAGTGCCCAACTGAGGACAGCCGCAGCGCTCCCAGCCGGGCCCGTCTCCCCGGCGCCTTCATGTTGCTTCTCCCGGTGAAGGTGTGGCTTAGACCCCCACCCAGGGGAGTGCTGGGGAGGGGTGCTGGCTCTTCAGGCAGCCGGGTAAGAGGGGGGAGCCCTGCTGCCTTCCACGAGCTTGGGTCTGAGTGGGAAACATTCGAAGCAGAGCCCAGAAGCCAGGCCTCGGAAGTTCACAGTAACCACGAAAAGGCTGGAAGTGTGGCACCGGGGCCATCGCAGGGAGGGCAGGGGACCATCGCTTGTGACTGGGACAGGATTTTTTTCTAAATATGTTTTTGTTGATTTTTTTTTTTTTTTTTAGAGAGAGAGAGGAAGGGAGAGGGGGTAGAGAGATAGAAACATCCATGAGAGAGAAGCGTCCTCCATCAGCTGCCTCCTGCAAGTCCCCTACTGGGAGTCTTCAACCCCAGCATGTGCCCTGACCGGTAATCCCACCGTGACCTCCTGGTGCACGGGAGGACACTCAACCACTGAGCCGCGCTGGCCAGGCTGGGACGGGATTTTAAATTTCAGCATGAAGCACCCTGATGTCGTACTACACTGCAGCCTCCTTAACATGCCGGAAAAGCCCTCCTATGTTGACGCACTGTTTAGTTTTAAAACTTCATTAGAAAGTGCTTCTGCTTCAGAAGACATGGGTTTGAGGAGCTTTCGGAGCTTTCTCCAGACGTTTTTTTCCTTTCATCTATTTTGTATTAATATTTTTCCTCATTGAGTTTTTATTTACATTGAAGAGATTTTAAAAATACGGACTGCACCCCTTTTCAAAACACACCTTTGAAAGCCGCAAATTAAGAATTTATCACCCTTTGAAGTACTAAACAAAATGACAAGAATTACTTTTTTTATTTTAACATATAATGAAATTGTGTTGGTGTCACATCAAAGGATAGATACCTATAAATAAAATATGGGCATGTTTTCTTACTGCCTAAAACATACATAACATTTCAAAGAAGCTGGAAATTAGGGAAATTTTCCTTTTCTTCAAAGAAGAGTAGCTAATTTTTATATCACCACCTCACAGGGCGCGGCGAGGCTTTGAACAGGGAGGCTTTGGTTTGATGTCTGCAGAGCGCCTCGTGTGCACACTCTCCGTTGATTTCTCCGCAGCCTCCCGGGCAGGCTCAGCAGGACGTGCTCACCATTTCACAGATGGGAAAGCTGAGGCCTGACTGAGTGACTCTCCTAAGGATATACAACCAGCACAGCACATCCAGGCCTAGAGCCTGTGGTGTTCGGGGCTCCCTCCTGCAGCTCGTTGCCCACCGTGAGTGGGCCTGTCTCCACGATGCACAGACCCCTGGCTGCTTAGTGTATTTTCAGATGACTTATTCAAGTACATAGTTCAGTAATACTCTGATTTTCAAACACGGGTGCAGCTGGAGTTGGGTGGATGGAGTTTCAGGATGACCTGGTGCAGGTGATGAGAGGTACTGTAGACAGGAGGGGAGATCAGGTTTGTGTCTTTTTCCTGCATAAACAGTTTGGACTAACTCGTTCCTTAATCGCTAAAATTCTCACCAAGTTAAGATTGGAATTTTTATCACTAAATATTATTTTGGCACCGTCTCAACCAAATTCAGCATCCAGGATGATCTTTTAGGATTCTCTGTTTTTACCGTTAAGTTGTTTTAGTAACATAATCCCAGGCACGGGCCCGTGGGAGTCTGATCTTGGTTGGCGTCTTGTTTTCCTTTTCACTCTCTTTCCATAATTCATAAGAGCACGAGGGTTCTCACCCATTGAAGACAATTTTAGGAAACCCAATTTAAGATGTTCTCAGGTACGCTGAGATCTGCTGTGGGCCGCCGTCAGCGGCGTGGCTGTGGACGCTGGCCCACCTCCCTTCCTGAGCTCGTTGGCGCTGCCCCTTGTGGTCCTTAATGTTCCTGTGATAAGAATCTTTTCTTTCCCTTCAGTGTCATGCTGTATCCTAATCACTTAGAAATTTGATTCATTCCTGTTTTTTCTCTTAGATTGAAACTGGAAGAGCGAAGGAAAGAGCTGCTCCAGAAACTCGAAGAAACGACCAAATTAACGACTTACCTGCATTCACAGCTTAAAAGGCAAGTCTCCCATTCTCGAGGGGAAGGTTTTCCTGACAACATCCAGGCATGTTTCTGTCCATCTTTGATTACTTCTCTCCTTATGTTCAATTGTTCAAAAGAAAAGAACATACACGAGTACAATTAAAACTTGAGTGGCCACACTTAATGCTGAATACATTTTTCTTTCGTGAGCCTCAAGGTCACGTTTGGAAAACATTGGAAATGTGTTGTGGGAAGCAGGCACGTTTTAGCTTCACTACATATTGAGGAAAATGACCTATTTTCTCCACATCAGCCCTTCTTTTAAAAAGTTAGGGTGGGCAGATTCATCTGAGAACATATTCACTCTAAATACACACACAGAGCCCAGCCGGGCGTGGCTCAGCGGTGGAGCATCGACCTGGGATCCAGGACATCGGGGTTTGATTCCCGGTCAGGGCACATGCCCGGGTCGTGGGCTCGATCCCCAGCCAGGGTTGTGCAGGAGGCAGCCGATCAATGACTCATCATTGATGTTTCTGTCTGTCTCTCTCCCTCTCCTTTCCTCTTTCTGAAATCAATAAAGACGTAGTTTTAAAGAAAATACACAGGAGAGGAAAGATGGATGAGCCCCATTGTGTAACCTCTTTGTCTAATAAGCTTGCCTTATTTCTCTCGCAAATATAAAGTCTTATTTGTTAAGAAAAGTGACTGCACCAACACTCTTTACTATCTACCCCCTTATATACTTTATATTATTTGCCCCCTCCCGCACTGTATCCCGTTTGCCCCCTTCCCTACTGTGTCCCGTTTGTCCCCTTCCCTACTTGCCCCCTTCCCTACTGGACACAGTACCAGAGGGGGCAAACGGGACACAGTAGGGAACTACTGTGTCCCGTTTGCCCCCTCTGGTACTGTGTCCCGTTTGCCCCCTTCTGTATTTGAATCGCACACTTGCCTCTGGATGCCTGTGCAGGTAGATCTGTCAATGGGTCTTTGATCCTGTCCCCTCTTTTTGTAAGTTTTGCAAAGGGGGGCGATTTTTAGTAAGGGTAGGACTGCTGCTTAGGGAGCACCTAGAGAGCCGGGTCGGGAGTGTCCGTGGAGAAACCGAGAGATCCGTGGGTTAACAGCGAGCTCGTTGCCCCGCCACGGAGGACGCTCCGGGCCTCGCGGGGTCTGGAGGCGCCAGCAGGGCTGTGCTCGGGTTTCCTGGGCGAGCCGTTTTTACAGTGTGTGCTCCTCTTGCAGCCTCTCCGCCAGCACCCTGTCCATGTCGTCGGGGAGCAGCCTGGGCTCCCTGGCCTCCAGCCGGGGGTCCCTGAACACCTCCAGCAGAGGCTCGCTCAACTCCCTCAGCTCCAGCGAGCTCTACTACAGCAGCCAGGGCGACCAGCTGGACGCGGACTATCAGTACAAACTGGACTTCCTTCTGCAAGAAAAGGGTGGCTACACTCCCTCCGGACCCATCACCACCATCCACGAGAACGAAGTGGTCAAGTCCCCCAGCCAGCCCGGCCAGAGCGGCCCCTGCGGGGCGGCGGCCGCCGCAGCAGGCCACGCTCCCCCGCTGGCTGAGGCCCCCAAGTCTGTGACGTCCCTGTCCTCCAGGTCCTCCCTGTCCTCCCTGTCCCCTCCTGGCTCCCCCCTGGTGTTAGAAGGCACGTTTCCCATGTCTCCCCACGACGTCCCTCTTCACCAGTTCACCTCTGACTTTGACGACTGTGAGCTGAGCAGCCACTTCGCAGACATGGGCCTCGGCGAAAGTCAGATGCTGCTGGACGCTGATTCGGGAGGCACGGCCCAGTCCCTGCTGGAGGGCAAAGGGCTGCCCGAAGGGGCCCGGGAGCCCTTCTACGAAGGAGCTGCAGGTAAAGGCGGGCTCGCTGGCCTGTGCTCCGCGTAGCTGTTTTAAGGGGGATGATCGGAGGTTACTGTTTCATGTGAACTCATGGTACTTTTGTTTTTGCTGCTCTTTTTGGTTTGGCTTCATCTAAGGAGTTTTTAAATGATATCCCTGGAGACATCTTTTCTTTATCAAATAAAAATCACCTTCCCTTGGTGATAATTTAATCATTACGTACCTGCCCTGTTGTCTGGACACCCTGTGTGTGTGGCAGGAGCGTGCTCTGTGGACACACTTTATACTTCCGAACAGATTCTGGTTCTGAAAGAACAGGGCAGACAGAGAAAGGGTTTGCTTTTCAAAGTCGGCCTAAAACAGATGAAAACCAAAGCAATTAGCATACCAGCTCATTAGCACCGGGGCTCCGTGTTAGGTTGCCCAGGGAATTCTCTACAAATACAATTTTTGTTTCCTGCCAGACGCTCCCCTTCTGCCTGACTTGCAGGAAGCCAGTTGCGGGGAACAGTGTCACCCTGCCACCTTCTGGCCCCCTTTCTAGTTGCAGCCGAGAAGGAGCCGCAGACAGTCCTCCCTCCTGCGGTTGTGCTCAGAGGCAGAGACGGGGAGAATTCCACTTTCTCGTGATTGTTTTCCTCTGTGAAGCAGAAGCTGTTTCATGGTGGGTGTGGCTGTAAAGAGAACGAGATGGCACCCTTGTTGGCACACGGTCACGGTGTGGTCCGAGCAGGGGTCTGCTGTAGCAGGAGCCTGGAAGGAAGCAGGAAATACAGCTCAGCCTGGCCCCCGGGGCCTGTTCAGAGCCGCGTTACTGCGTGTCCGCAGCACAGAGGACAGGCCTCTTAGCAGGTGTCTCCTTGCTGTTTCAAGAAGCATATTTAATAGGTATTTATGGTCCTAGGAATTCTAAGTATTACTTGATTGGCCAGTTCAGATGTTTAAGGAGCTAGAAGAACCCAGCTTGTTTGTGTGGTCTCCAATCCTGAGGACTGAGACCCCGCCTGCCGGGGGCCTGAGGCAGGGGCCGGGGCAGGTGCAGGACAGCTGTGTGGTTTGTGTGCGGCTGCCTGGCTCTTCGGGTCAGGTCACCAACGCTCGGTCTATTCAGGGATGTCTGACCTCGGGTGGGGGCGGGTGGCTCAGGGCCGTGACGCTGGCCGTCTCCCCCCTGTGCCCTGGAGTCTCATGCAGATGAAGTCAAGTCCCTTTTGTATACACTTTGCTCTCTAGCACCGGGCTCTGCTGGACGACAGAAACAGAGCTGGAATCACTCCAAAGTCCTCCCACAGTCAGTCTCTGTCATTGTCAGAGTCAGTCTCCAGCTGCCGGGGCTGTTCCTGGGGGAAATCAATAAATGGTGTCATCACCCTCACCTCGCGCAGGGGGCGGGCGGAGAGAAGGCTCTTCATTCTCCAGGAAAAAGTGGTCCCACCGCCGGCAATCAGCGCCCTAATCTGAAGCCTTAAAGCCTAAGCATCCTAACAGATGTACAGTCACGACTGGGGGGGGGGACCCAGGGCGGTGCCTGCTGCCCAGCCGAGGATGAAAGGACCCCACAGGCTTCCAGCTTTTATACAGGAGCACAGCTCCGAGCGAACCCCCTCACTCGCCGCAGGATGCCGGTGTGTGAATATAAAGATAAAAGTCAAGTGGTAGTTGGTGCTCAAGATTCAGCGCCAACACAAAGGTGTTTCTTAATGGTATTAGCTGGTGAGCAGTCCTCTAAGTGAAACAGTTTTTTTCTCTAACTTCTACAGGAGATGTAGACTTGCATGTGGCGAGGGGGCAGCCAGAGAGCGTCCTTTCCTGCCACTGAGGCGCTCGATGCTCTCGGTTCTAGAAATACCTCTGGTTCTAGAGGGAGGCAGGTAGTTCTCCCCTGCGTGTGGTAACTGCAGCGACTACCTGAAACACGGAGGCAAGGGGCCGGTGGGGATGTGTGTCAGCCATCCCTCCCCTCAAAGTGGTTCAGGACAACGGAAAACCCTATTCTTCATCAGATGTTGACCACAATAACCGCTGTCCCGGGAACCTTATAAGTCACGAAGCCTTGAATCACCCACACCTGTCGGTTTGAATAGTAACATCCTTGCTTCTCGGATGGGAATTTCGTTCTGGCAGAACCCAACTGTGTGTTTTATATTTAACTTTTCCTAATAAGAAATCCTCATGAATGCTGCCCTTCTCCCCTCCTCAGATGTGGAAAAGTCGATACCGAAAAGGAGAGGAGCCCACCTGCTGGGGGAGAGGACGGCGTGTGTGTCGGCCGCCGTGTCTGACGAGTCGGTGGCTGGAGACAGCGGGGTCTACGAGGCGTTTGTGAAACAGTAAGGGCTCCTCTCAGCAGGGGGGCTTCCCATCACTCACACCCCATCGTGGCATGGGGGGGTCACAGGCTGGGATGTCCTGCCGTCAGTCCACTCTTTGCAGCGGCACAGCTGTAGCATTGAGGGAACAGGGTGCCTGGACATCTCAGTGTCCCCAAAACACGGGTGTGCTCAGACACCTCACCTTCTCTGAGACTTAAAACTTGACTTGAATGAGAATTGGAGGGGTTGCCCACATCTGCTTGGCCCGTCGAGCTCCCTGAGTAGGTTTTGGAAGGCTGGAATGTGTCCAGGGGTGCAGTGTCCCCCAGGGAGGCTCAGGAAGGTTGGGCATCAGAGAGTCTTCCCCGTGAAGGGTCAGAGACAGACCCCTCTGGAGAAGGTGATGGAAGATCTCAGAGCGAGCGCTCCCTGGACCGGCCCGTGGTTGGGGTGGATGCAGGGGTGCTGGTGATTCAGGCTTCCATTCAGATTGATTAAGTGGCAGGCAGTACCCGGAGCCACCGAGATCCCCATTAATAACCTGTCCTCCTGCGCCCGCTGTCGCCCTGCGCCCAGGCCCAGTGAAGCCGAAGACGTTACTTACACCGAGGAGGAAGCTTCCGTCGTGGAGACGGCCCAGGTGCAGATCGGACTCAGGTAAAGGAGCGTGCCCGGGGGGGGCGCCTCTAGGAGCCTGTGCTCTCCCCTCATTTCATCAGCTCCTCTTTCCACAGATACGATGCGAAAAGGTCAAGTTTCGTGGTAATTATAGCACAACTCCGGAACCTTCACGCCTTCCTGATACCTCATACTTCAAAAGTGTAAGTAAAATCCGTGGAGAGCACATGAGCTTGAAACTGCCCACGTGTGACAGTTTTCCACTGTAATCAAGCGATCCAGCCGGCGGAGACGTGGAGACACGTGGCGGGGCCGGCCAGGCCTTAGCGACAACAGACAGGCGAGAGAAAAGGGAAATTCGAAAAAGCGTTTTGGGTTTTGGTTGTTACTCAGCCGATTCATTATTAAGAATAGGAAGTAAGACTTTCTGTCTTGCTCTTCAGCCAGGAACCCTGTGTTACGCTCGGGTGGGGTGTGATCTTTTGAAATAGTTAACCTTTTTGTTGCTGCTGAGCTGTGACGGCTCACCACTTGGCTTGGAGGAATTTTCTGATCTTTACCCTGAAAATGTGGCGAGTGATTAAATTTTATTTATCAGGACAGCATTGGGAAACCTGGTGTCTCGCTGCGTGTAACAGTTTCATGTTTTTATCATCAAACACTCCCTTCCCTGGGACCAGAAGTTCCTTAAAGTTGTCTCAGTTTATTTCACTTCACGAAGCCGTGAACCCCGAGGAAGCGGTGGCGTGACGCCACACAGTGTGTTGGTGCCCCCAGGAGCACCGTGGCCCAGATAATGACACTGCCGAAGGTGACGACCAGGATGAAGTAGCCCTGAAACAGGCTTTTTCCCTTTAACTTCAGAACCCTTTTTTTTTTAATGCAAATTTGGAATCTTCTTTTTTTTTTTTTTTTTAAATATATCTTTATTGATTACAGAGAGAGGAAAGGAGAGGGAGAGAGAGAGACAGAAACATCAACGATGAGAGTCATTGATCAAGCCCGCAACCGGGCATGTGCCCTGACCAGGAATCGAACCCTGATCGCCTGGGTCCTAGGTCGAATCTCAGCCGCTGAGCCACGCCCGGCTGGGCCAGAACCCATTTTTGACTGAGTCCCGGCCAGCGGGGTGTAGTGGCCGGCACTGGCCGGGGTGTCGGTGAGGAGCCCGAGCAGAGCGAGCCCTGCCTCCTTTCTCCCGGCCGACGGCCCCTGACGGGAGCAGCCTCTGTTCCCGGGAGCATTTAGAATCTGCAGCGGGTTCAGCCGCTGTACAGGGCAAAGCTGAAGTCTGGAGACGCAGACGCTCTTTCCCGCGTTCCTGCTCCCCAGTACCCGCCTCCCTGGGCGGAGAAAGGGACCTCTGCCGAGCCTCCAGCCTCGACTGCAGCGGCCAGATCCACCTGGATTTTAGCACTGCATCTCCATGATCAATGTTTATATAAATACAGAAATAATAAGACATTCCTCAGTCCACATGTGCGTTTACAGTCCTTTCCATTGGAGAGAGGCCTCTCTTAGAACTTGAATTAGACAGGCCTGGCAGTGGGGGCTGGGGGTGGGGGCCGGGATTTATTGGGTGTTCTCTTCCCAGGATTTAAAAGAAAATATCTCCTGCTGTTTCCAAGAATTGTGCGTCCTCATATAATGTGTGCTCGGAAAACGCACTTTGAAGCAGTATCAGAAGTTCTTTCTTTCTCTAACTCTTCTGAATTTTGCAAAGCTAAGACTCTTAAAATAATTTATCATTTCTGATGCTTCTGAGGTGCTAGACAGTGATTTTTTTGACTGTTGAATTTCATCTGTTTTAAGTTTTTTTCACAACGTGCTCCTCAGCCGTTCTTTTTCTCCAGTAGGATAAATGTGTTCCCTTCCTGGGACGTGATTGCTGACGTCTCTTGTTAAATACTGAGGATGAGTCTCCTTTGGGACAAAGTCAGCAGTATCAGCTTAGTGTGTCCCCACCTTCCCAGGCTCACAAGTCACCCATTTGGGAGTTGGCTGTACATGGGAAGGTGGGGCATTCGATTCATCTGTCCCAAGGGCATTGCTCCCGGTCACCTTCCTGTCATGTGCCCCTGCTGTGGCCCGGGGGGCGTGGCAGGCTGGGGCCCATGCTCGGGCACTGGAGACACCAGCAGGCTGGGGACAGAGCCTCTGTGTCACGGAGCAGGAACAGCCCCGTTATGACAGCGACGAAGCTCTGTTGATACCGAGCTCCTTGGTCCCCAGGCTTCTCTCTTACGGGTAATTTCAGGCCGCAGCCGGAGTGCCGGGCAGCTGAAGAGCCTCTGAGACCCGGGTGTCTGCTCTCTCTGCAGGTACTTCAGGGTTGCTCTGCTGCCCTCCTCGGCGGACGTCAGCTGCCTGTTTCGAACAAAAGTCCACCCGGCCACGGAGTCCCTTCTGTTCAATGACATGTTCCGAGTGGCTGTTTCCCAGACGGCCTTGCAGCAGAAGACGCTGCGGGTGGACCTGTGCTGCGTGAGCACCCACCGCCGGGAGGAGTGCCTGGTGGGTTTCTAGTTGCCATTCGCCAGCCCGATGTCACCACAAACCTGCCCAGTGCCTCGGGCATACCCGTGGCTGTTCCGGTTTCCATCGGAAGGAGTGATTTCGGGTTTTCACTTTTACTCCAGACCCCTCACATCTGCTTACACATCGTGATTTTCTGTAAAACATACCTTCCGTCTCGACCCTTTGGCTAAAGAAGCTCTTTTTGACCGGTGACCTCTGTCACCGTGGGGCATGTTTACTCTCAGTGCGCGTCTCGTGCTGGGTGCTCCGTACACATTGTCTCATGAAAAAGGTGTGATTACTCCTATTTTCAGATAAAGAACTGCTTAGAGAGGTAATGTGCTCACACAGCCCCCTACATAGTTCATTGTTACCTATTTAAATCGAGTAAGACACTGAGTGTTTAAGTCCTTCAGCTCCTCCCAGCCCCGGTGGCAGAGCTTCTAGGAGGACGTGTGTTGCTGTTTAGGGCCTATGATATTTAAATGCTAAAGCAGAAGACTCTGTGCAACTAATAGTGAGTTTAACGCACTGCTGTGCATTATAACCAGAAAACCGTTACACACCAGGCAAGTATTCAAATGTGTTATAAAACGGGGGGGCCTCTAACTGAACCTTTCTCTGCAGTACGGTAGGAAACAGAAACACATGTTTCACGATGCACAAAGTTTAAAAGAGTGGGAGATTTCTTATTAATCTTTCTTTTTCTGTATATAAAAAATATCCGACATTGCCTGACAATAAAGAAAGTTAGAAAGAAGCAAAGATAACAGATTTGTCAGGCGTCAGAGAGGCGTAGTATAATAGACTTGTGTCAGCATCCATAGAGTTAATAAATATGTTAATCGACAGTGTTACACTAGGTACAGTTTAACTTAGATTCTGGATGCTAAGTGTGATTTGGTGGAATATAAAAGCTTTTAACCTTTTTTTTTTTTTTTTATTACTTGTTTATCCAAGTAAAATTTTTCTAATTTCTCATTTAAGAACAACAGTGGAGTTTTTTGTTTGTTTTTAAATTTTTCAGTGGATAATGGATTTTTATAGATCACTCACAGCATATTTTATACTTAGTCATTTGTTTTTTAAATTTTTATGTTTTAACTTTTTCTTTAAAAATAATTTCACACGAAATGTCACATGCTTAGTTATTAAGTTTTGGCATAATAGTCTCTCACAAAACCATCCCAGGGTTGGCTCTCAGATTAGGATCAGTTCTTACCTGGTCACACCTGAAAATATAAAACATCTTTGGGTTTTAAAAAAATCCACCAATGTTTTATGTCATGAATATTGCATTTTTTTTACCCTAAAACAAGCTTGCCCAATAATCTTAATTCCATCAGAAGCAAATCTGAATTTAAACATTCTGTTTTCTCTCTTTTTCTCTCTTCCCTCCCATAGGCTGGAACTCAGATCAGCCTGGCCGATCTGCCGTTTTCCAATGAGATTTTCACCTTGTGGTATAACTTGCTTCCTTCTAAGCAGATGCCTCCCAAAAGGAATGAAGAAAAACACGAGGATTCTGTATTTCAACCAGCCCAGACACCGGTGGACCCGATAGACTTGGTGAGTCAGAGGCAGAGAGGACAGACCACTGCGGTTAGTAACAGCGCGGCGTGTGGAACGCCGCGGAACCACCGCGTTTCTGTTCACGTCCACTCCTTCCCCCTCCCAGCTTCCGAAAAATGAAAGATAATTTCCGGCTGTTTCACGTATCGTTTACAAAAGAATCGCTTGTTTCTGCTCACGCTTCCTCCCATAAAAGTAACCTGATGTGGAGGCTTCATTGTTTTACGTGACCATGAAAAGCCTTTTGATTTAAATTTATACTTTTACACATTGTGTTCACTGTCAAGTTATACAGTTGAAACTCTTACATTTTAGAACATAACCTTAGTTTCCATTTATAACATCAATCCCCAGAAATATTTTCTATTACAAAGTGTGTTGTAACCAATAGTCATACTTGAGTACTTCAAAAATTTTACAAAGGGGCACTGTATGAGGCCGTTCGCCCCCCACCGGGCATCCGTGGGTATTGTTACTGCGTTCAGGCTTATGCTAGATTACCTGTGGGGAAAGATTTTACTAGGCACAGTCAGATCATTAAAGCAGCAGGGCTCCTCTGACCCTCTGTGTGCGAGAACCTGTAGTGGACGCTGGTGGGTGGGCAAGGGAGACACACGTGTTGGAGGTTCATATCCCACACCCAGCCTTATGGCCCACACTCAGGAAGGCTTCCAGGTGCTTTCAGACGGTCCCCCTGTGGGTGAGCTTTTTTAGAAGCTCTCTGCAGTATAATTCACACGCCATCCAGTTCACTCATTTAAAGTAGAGTTCACCCATTTGAAGCACACAATTCAATCGTTTTTAGTTTGTTCACAGACATGTGCAGCCATCACCACAGCCTAATACTGAACACGGTCATCACCCCAAAAGGAAGCCCGCACCCTTTCGCTGGCAGTCGCTCCCGGTCTCCCTGACCCCTTTCCCCCAAGGCAACCACTGGACTTCTTTCTGTCTGTACATTTGCTGATTATGGACATTTCATATAAATGGGTAAAAACAATATTTGTTCTTTTGTGACTATCTTCTTTCACTTAGCAGAATGTTTTCAGAGTACATCCATGTAGTAGGATGTATTAGTGTCTCATTCCTGTTATTTCCAAATAACATTCCATTGTAAGGACGTACACCTTTTATTTACCTATTCATCAGCTGATGGGCGTTTGGGCTGTTTATACTTTTTTACTGTTATTATTAATGATGCTGTGAACATTTGTGTACGAGTTTATACAGGTGTGCTTCGTTTCTCTTGAGTATGTACCTAGGAGTGGACTTGTTGGGTCATATAATTTTATGTTTAGCATTTTGAGGAACTGCCAGACTGTTTTCCAAAGTGGCTGCACCATTTTACACTCCCACCAGCGGGGTGTGAGGATTCCAGTTTCCCGCACCCTCGCCCACGTTGTTAACCTGTCTATTCTAGTGGGTATGCAGGGGTGTCCCTGTGGTTTTCATTCCCTAATCACTAATGATGCTGAGCATATTTTCATGAGCTTGTTGGTCATTGGTATAGCTTTTTTTTTTTTTTTAGAACTGTCTGTTCAGATCCCTTGTTTATTTTTTAAATGGGTTATTTTATCTATTTATTGTTGAGTTATGAGAGTTCCTCATATATTCTTGATACAAGTCTCTTATCCAGTAAAGTACTTGCAAATATTTTCTCTCATTCTGTGAGTTGTCTTTTCACTTTCTTGATGGTTTCATTTGCAGCAAAGTTTTAAATTGTGATGAAAGTCAAATTGTCTCTTTTTCTCTCTCACTGCTTACGCTGTTGATGTCATATTTAAGAAGGCTTTGCCAAACCTGACATCACAAAGATTTACTCCTATGTTTTCTTCTGAAAGTTTTAAAGTTTAGTTTTATTTTTAGGTCTCTGATTAATTTTTTTTGTATGTGATGTAAAGAATGGGTCCATGTTCACTCTCTTGTATGTGGGCATGCAATTGTCCAACACCGTTCATTGAAAAAACTATTATTCTTTCCCCCAGCAAATTATCTTGGTACCTTTGCCGAAAACCATTTGACCATAAGTGAGCATTTATTTTTCTGGACTCTAAATTCTGTCCATTAGTCTACATGTCTGTACTTATGTCTATAGGTTAGTAGTTATTTTGAAATCAGAAAGTATGACTCATCAAACTTTGTTTTTCTTTTTCAAGATGGTTTGGGGTCCCTTGCATTTCCATGTGAATGTTAGTACCAGTTGGTCAATTGCCACACAAAAAAAGACAGCTAGGATTTTGATGGAGATTGCATAGAGTCAGTAGGTCAGTTTGGGGGTATTGCCACCTTAACAGTGTTGAGTCTAATGATCCATGAATGCAGGACATCTTCCCATTTATTCAGGTCTTCCTTCATTACTTTCAACAATGTTTTGTAGTTTTCAGAGTCCAGGTTTACACTTCTCTTGTTAATTTTATTCTTTTTGATGCCCGTATAAATAGAATTATTTCCTTAATTGCTTATTCAGATTATTCATTGCATAGTTAATTTTTATCTGTCTTGTGTCCTGCAACCTTGCTGAACTAAGTTGTTAGTCTTAATAGTTTTAGTGGATTTCCCAGAATTTTCTACATATAAGATTATATCTTCTGGAAACAGAGTTAGTTTCCTTCTTCCTTTCAGGTTGCTTTGCATTTCTCATTCTTGCCCATCTGCCCCTGCTGGAACCCCCAGTGCCAGATCAAAAGAGGTGGTGAGAGTAGACGACCTTGCCTTGTGCCTGGTCTTCTTGGGAAGCTTTCAGCCTTTCACCGTTGATATGATTTTTGCTGTGGGTTTTTTGTAGATGCTCTTTATCAGATTAAGGAACCCCTCTTCCTAGTTTGTTGAGTGTTTTTACCATTAAAGGTTATTGGATTTGACAAGAGCTTTTCAGCCTTTATTGAGATGATCATGTGGTTTCTGTCCTAAATTCTATTCACATGGTTTATTGATTTTCAGATGTTAAGCCAATCTTACGTTCCTAGGATACATCCCCTCGTGGTTATGGCATATAATCCTTTTTATATGTTTATTAGATTTAGTTTTCTAACTTTTTCTTGAGGACTTTTTTGTATATTTCCATGGTTTTCATGTGATGTCTTTGTTTGGTTTTGATACCAGGATAATTCTGGCCTCATGGAGTGAGTTAGGAAGGGTTCCTTCCTTCTTTACCTTTTGGAAAAGCTTGAAGAGAATTGAATTCTTTAAATGTTTGGTGGAGTTCACCACTGAAGCCAACTGAGCCTGGACTTTTCTTTGTGGGAAGTTTCTTGTTTATAGTTTAGTCTCTTTACTGGTCATAAGTGTACCCAGAATGTTTTTGCGTATGTTGGTTTTGGTAGTTTGTGTCACTCTAGGAAATTGCCTATTTCATCCAGGTTACTAATGTGTTCGTAGTATTTATTCCTTTACAATCCATTTTATATTTGTAAAGTTGGTAGTGATGCCCCCTCTCTCATTCTTGATACTAGCTTTTAGTCTCTTTTTCTGGGTTAATTTCACTAATGGTTCATCAGGTTTTTTGATCTTCTCAAAGAACCAACTTTTATTTTCATTGATTTCTCTAATATTTCTCTATTCTCTACTTCATGAATTTCCTCTCTAGTCTTTATTTTTCCTTCCCTTTGATTGCTTTCAGTTTATTTTGCTTTTTTTCCATGTAGGAGATTAGGTTACCAGTTTGAAATCTTTCCTTTTTTTTATTACAGGTGCTGACAGCTATAAATTTCCCTCTGAGTACTGCTTTAGTAGCATCTCAAATTTAGTATATTGTGTTTTAATTTTTATTCATGTCACAGTGTTTTGTAATTTTCCTTGAGACTTCTTTGACTCATTGGTTATTTGTGAATGTGTTAATTTCCACATATTTGTTAATTTCCTGTTTCTTTCTGTTATTGAATTCTAATTTTATTACAGTGTGGTCAAAGGACATATTTTATATGATTTCAGTCCTTTCAAATTTATTGAGGCTTGTTTAATGGCATAGCTGGCATGTGGTCTATCCCAGAGGGTGTTCTATGTGCACTTGAGAAGAATATATATTCTGCTGTTGTAGGGTGGAGTGTCCTGTAAGGGTTTCTTAGGTTTAGGGCTGAATAGTATTCCATCGTATGCATGTATCACATCTTGTTTGACCAGGCATCTGTCAAAGGACACAGGTTGTCCATGTCTTGGCTGTTGTGAATAATGCTGCAGTGAACATGGGGGTACATATGTCTTTATGAATAAGTGTTTTCAAACTGTGGGTGCTGATATTCAGAAGAGCGATTGCTAAGTATTGATCCGTAAGAGATAATGCCTCTTTTTTTTCTTTCACCACTTGAAAAACTTCCTCTTATTCTTTGATTTTCAGTAATTTCACTCTTATGTGCTAATGTGATTTGTGTGTGTGGGGGGGGGGTTATGCTGGTGAAATTCTCCATCATTTCATCGGTTTTCTTAAGCATGTAATTGTAAAATTTTAAATTTCTTTAAATAACTGCAGTGTATGGATCACTTGTGGGTCTGCCTCTTTTGTCTGTTGTTTCTCTTGGCTTTCAGTCACTGGGTCCTGGTGTCAGTGGAATGCTGGATGTTATATATGAAGAATTATAGAGGCTCTGGCTGATAGCTTCCTCCAGAGAGGATGCAATGTTCTTCCGGAAGGCAGATTACAGTGTGGGCAGATCACCTGGGTCACTAGGGGAACCTGAACTCCAATTTTTCTCTCCCTAAGATGGTGAGGCAGCCAAAATACCTGCTTACTGCTTTAGCCTCCAACCAGCTGGATTTTGCTTTGTTTCTCAGCTTCTTGCTCTGCACATTTACAGCTTAGGAATGGCAGATGCCTCGATGGAAATACTGCAGAAAGTTGGGCTCACTTAAGAGTCATTTTCCCTGATCCCTTTTGTGCTGACTGCATGGTAGTCCCCAGCTCATGTTTCCTCTTTACATTCTACCAACACTGCCACCATTCTGGGCAGCACCGTCTGTCTGGTCTGTAGGCCTCACCACTAGACTGAACACCTGCCCCCAAGGGAAAGAGTGGCAGTGATGGTCCGCTCACCTCCTCGCATTTCCCTCTGCCTGGGATCTTGGCCCTCTCGTCCTGATTGCCTTTGTGGCTCTTCTTTGCTTTAAAGCAGCTGGAGTGTTTGTTTGCTTCTTGCTTTGGGTTTTATTTTGTTCATCTTTCATATCTCAGCAGGAGAACTGGGTCTAGTACCAGCTTCTTTTACACAACTGGAAGTCCCCACCTGATGAGTTTCTAAATTATTCCTAGAGGTGTGTGCCGCTCATCGCCATATGTTTTACCTTCTCCAGGACGCAGTGTCAGCCTTACTGGCAAGAACGTCGGCTGAGCTGTTGGCTGTGGAGCAGGAATTAGCCCAAGAAGAAGAAGAATCGGGGCCGGAAGAAGGGCAGAGGGGCCCAGACGGAGACTGGTAAACCCTCACCTCCCTTGGCTGTGGGGAGCTCAAAGAGCATGGGCTTAGTTTCTCATAAGAAACTCTCAGGGAAACCTTTATGGGTTCAGATCTCATTCTGGAATCATGGGAAGTGGCGCAGCTTCAGGAAGCTGCCCCCGAGGAACCGTGTCCTCAATCATTAGTTGAAGAAGGTCATGGCGAGGTTGTTCGCAGAGTTAACACATGAGCGAGACTCTGCTCTTCAGTAATTTTTAACACTATTTCCTGAGCTTTTCAAACCTTAAAGGTTAAACTAAAGTTCCTACTCTGAAAGGAATGGTAGTTTATTGTAGACTTATAGGTAAGTTTAAAAACTGGCTCTGTGTTCCTTTCAATTACCAGAAGCAGCGGTTAGGCCTGAGTGAGTCCAAGCAGGCGTTGAGGAAACAGCTCCTGAGCAGCCGTTTCTCTGTCACCACTCCCACCGTCCTTTCTGTGATCTTCCCATTGTTCATACCCGTCCTTTACAAAAAAGGGAAAATCTGTTGTTACAGCTTTTGTCTAGATTCCCGTGTTATGTGTAAAGAATGATATCTTTCCTGGCTTGTACTGTTTTTTCTAAAAACAAATTTTAGTGGCTGCATCTGTTTTTTAAGTATACATGTACAATTATTTGAATTAACTATTTATATATAGTTGCTTTTACTGTTCGGTATGACCGAACTACTGTTAACTCACGTGCATGTACATATAGAGCATGCAATTGTGTGTATGTGCTCGTAGAAAACTTTCTACAAATTAGAATGACAAGATATATCATAAAAACAAGATTGTGGGCATTTGGAAGGCACAGCTTACTACAGTGATGTAAGAAGGTTCAGGTATACTCGGCTCTTATCAAAAGCCCTTTATAGTGAGTACAAACCAGAGCACCGCAAAGAAAAGTGAGTGTGAGAGTGATTACGAGTTTCATCCAGCTGTCTTTAGTTAATAAGCCTGCCCTGTGGATGTGAAATGCAACCTGTTTCACACACATTTCAAAAAATACACTTAGTACGCACCATGAAGGAACTGATAACTCACAGTACCCATTGCTAGCTCCCCCTTCTTTACGTCATGACTAGGTGTTTAACTACCAGGCTGTCCCACCTTGTCAGTATGTCACCGATCACAGTTAAAGCTCGACTTTTGGTCGTCAGAGAAAATGTTTGCCTTGTGAGAACGTGAAACTCAGCAAAGCATGAGAAATCTAAACCAGGCTGGTGCTCTTGCTTTCCTGTCAGTAGAATTCATACAGAATATATATGCATTGTAGTGCCCCTACTTGTAATGCCACCCAAGCCCGGCCATGGCTGTTAAAGACAAGGTCACGTGGCACGAAGGGCCTTCTGGTGTTTCAGGGGTAAGGCTCGCCCACCGGGTCTCCCCCCGCTGGACCGAGAGCACAGTTGATAATGGATATTGTTAATCCTCGTGTCATTACTGTTACCGAGAGGGGCTCTGTTCCATTGTATGAGTAATTTTACAGGAAATGAACTAACACCAAGTTATACTCTAGTGAGTGACAGTATTTTTAAATGGCGGGGCTAAACTTTATATTTGATTTTCAGTATATTTCTATTTTAATCTCTAGGAATTAGGTCACATTTCATGAATTTAACATTTTAGTACCTAACAATGGTGACTTTGCTGTAGATTACTAGAGATAATTTTATTTTGCATGATCATTTTAGTAAAAATGGCTTGGACCGTTGTGTGTCCGTTGACCCGTGCCCTGGTAGCCGGTGAGCGTGCCCAGGCTGCGCTGAGCTCGGACACCCAGCTTGACTTAAAGTGTGTCTTGCTTTGTTTCCCCGAAGGCTGACGATGCTGAGAGAGGCCTCCGATGAAATCGTGGCTGAAGAAGAGGCTGAAGCTGCGTCGCCAGAGGGCAGCAGCCATACAGAAGACTTAAGCTCGTGCCCCAGTGTGCCCGAGACACATGAAGGCACGAGTGGGGGAGAAAACAGCTGTGCCAAAGACCTCGGGAGTCAGCCACCTGCCGGGACGCCCACCCTCGTGAGTATTCCAGCCCCGCTCTCCCGAGGCAGGGCTCGTAGGCACCATGCCGCCGAGTTTGGCTCTTTGGGCGTAACTCCGCACCCAGACTTCATGCAGAAGCTGATCGGGATGGGCATTTGTGGGAGTGGGCTCCCAGAAGCATCGTGTTTTACATTTTAAAATGGGCGCGAAATACTCACTCCCCACTTAACTTTCATAGAAGATGAATAGTGCTGTTTAGATCTTGGCAACTGTTTTGTGAATATTTATTAGCAGCAGTTTCAGAATTTCCTAGATAACACCAGGATGACTACTTAATTGTATTAAGTTTCATAAATGTCATCAGTTTATTGCGATTTCTAAGATGCAGTAAACATGTAAAGCTCACTTGGGTTAAACGGTGTTCTGAGTGACATCTCTTCTGGGAGGTGGCAGGTGACCCAGCCCGGGCACAGGAAGTAGTTAAGTAACAGGCGTGCTGAGGGGTGACGTTACTTTCCAGCACTGAGGACGCCAGCGATGGGATGTTGTAACAAGCTTGGACAGTTTCAGTTCTTTATTCCCGGGAAAAATAATACCACGTGTACCTTGACCGAAGACTTCATATGGATGTATATGTGTAACTGCATATTCTATGCCAACCTGTAACTTCGTAGTATCTTTTCATTTTCTTATAGCTAATTACCTTTAGCATTTATCCTGGAAAAAACTCAGCAGTTCAGTGATACTTAATGGTGAGGCAGGCCCAAAGGAGATTGTTTACGGAGCCGCATTTACCCTCTGTAAGGCAAGCCTTCATTCCTAGGCCTGGCCTGTTAGCGGTGGCACCTCCACCTGGTGACCCTGTTGGACAG